GGGCAGCCCGCCAACGCCTCCTCCCCGCCCACGCCGAGCTCTGAACCTGGGGTGACTCAAGGGGGCAGGTGCCGCTCGCCTGCCGCGACCGCAGGGCGGGGGGCGCCCGGGGGGTGTCAGAGGGCGAGGGATGAAGAGGAGGGAGAATAAAAGGCTTGGAAAAGGCTGCTTTCAGTTGTTTTTTTTTTTTAAAGAAAAGTAGAATCACATCTGAGCAGCTGATGGTTCTTCTGAGCTATCGCGGAGAGAGGCAAAACGCCTGTTACCGATACTGAATGAGCCGGAGGGCTATTTTACTGCCGATCAGTAACATTTCGGAGCTGAAAGGCACCTAATTAGGCCTTGCTGCTTTCCTCACCGGAGGATATCTTTGTCGTAGTTTTTTTTTTTTTCCAGTAGCAGCAGAAGGGAAGAGCAAATTAAAAAAAAAAACAATCCGCTATAAAGAGATAACATGTAGATAATGTATCATTTACAGCGCAAGCAGCTCCAGTATTAAGGTTTTGCTTAACCTGTCATTACCTGGCTAATTCGGGTACAAAGATAGAAAAAGCGCTCCCTCCCCCCAACTACGAAGGGACTCGTTTTGAAAAAGCTTGGTGGAGGTTAGGAATTACTGGTGAGAGTAGAAACCTTTTCAAGCAGCATCTGGATACCTAGCTATGAAAACCACCATTTTTTAAAATAGTAGTGGAGAACTGTCTGCGAGAAAATTTGATGGAGCTACGTTAATTATGAGTGCCTCAAGTCAAGAATTAGGATTTTTATCTGTAAATATTTTATTAATATCAAATAGGGATATTTTTCCTTTTTGAGAAGTCTTCAGCTGCAACTATGAAAACTTATTTTAAATTAACTGATTTGTCTGCTGTGGCAATAATGGAACATCAGGACTGAATCTATGCTCCAGCAGTTTGTCTTTTCTATATCTAACCTTTTAAAAACTTAAATACTTTGATACAATAAAACCTTCAGAAATAATATTCTTTGTTAGACATATCCATAAAAGGAAAATAAATTCAACTATCAAAAGGAATATAATAGAAATACAGGTTGGATGTAGACAGCCTTCAACTCAGAGTTTCACTGAAAACGGAAAGACAAACCAGCTCAGCATTGTTTTCATAAGCAACGGGACACTAAATTGCAGTCTGCTGAGAGGTCAATAGTGGGGGGGGGGGGCAGAAGAGGGAAGGAGAAGAGATTCAAAATGGAAAAAAAAATTAATCTTCATACAGAATAGTTCGTAGCCAGCCATACGCTGGCTACACGTGGCATTCATATACACCTCAACAAAACAATGCTGCTTTCCATTATCCACAACTACTCAGTACAGAAGGCCCTTCAGCCTACATAAGCTGACAGTTTTACAGCATTAGTTCTGGGAAATTAGCAGCATGAGTAGAAGTAGCTTTTATTTGACAATTTCAGCTAATGTCTCTTATAATGCTTACATCGATCGCAACCAAATAACATGCCCAACTAAGTAGAATTGCTGCAACTTGGTTTGAGACCAATGAAGACAGTTCTATTGTTAACATGCTAATTTCATATGAAGTTTGGCTTCCCAATGCTCTAGCTGTGTAGTTTAAGGTAGAATAATTGGTATAACAGAATAATTAAGCTTGGTGCATTCCAATAGCACTGCTTCTACAAGAACAGTTCAGGGCCACTGAGGAGAAATAACAGATTTGGCTAACTTGAATTTAGTCAGTTTTCTAACTGTATCTTGCACTGTATAGGAGAAAGCCAACGTGAAGGCTATCCCAACCAGATTCCCAGGCCAAAATATATATTATGCATATGTATGTTTATGTATGTGTATACACACACCTCCCTCTGCTGTAGAGCCATATGGCAATTTCAGTTCAGCTTTGAGGAAGCTATCACTGAAAACTAACGTATGGGAATTTGTTGGCTTTCCCATCCAGTAAAGCACTAACATAAAGGCTGTCCTGAAAAAAAAAACACAACCTCATTATTTAAAACTATGATTTTTTTTCCCCTGCTGTCATAGTATGTTCAAGTCCTAGCCTCCTGTTCTTCCCAGGCCAAAATAATTTGTGTAGCACTGACCCTGCGTTCCTATAAAGCCTAACCGACACGGGCATCCTTCAGTTGGAATTTCCAAGCAACACTGCAATGTGTGTGACTCATTTCGGTACCTCACCCTTGTGATCAGAAGTTGAATGGATACACTGATGAGACCGGGATGGCAGTCAGAAAAGAATCATTACATGTGAACGAACTGCTCAGAGAAGGTGAATAGATGTTTTTAAAATGATACCAATGAAAATTAGCAATTTTTATCTAAATCGATATGCACTTCAGAACATGATCAGCCACATGCACTTTTGAAAGCTATATTGTACTGGTTGGGAAGCATTATATCCCCAAGCATTATGTAAAATTTTTTCCCCAAGACACGAAAGGAACAGTTCCTCCCCTCACAAGCCCTTCTACACAACAGAACGTTTACCACAGATGGAGTTTTGTTTTACCAATTGTTTCTTCAAGAAGAGTAACCACATGAGAATAGGACAGTTATAAAAGAACTAAGTGATTTAAGCGAAGACCAACATGGACTTGGACTCTGGCAAGTTTAAGTGAATAATACAGTAGAGTTACTTTTTTTTTTTTTAAACTAAATATGCCAAGTAAATTTTAGCTTCATCTCATTCCCATTCCACTCTTGTTAAGGAATCTTAGTAATAAAAACTAACGCATTTATTCTTACCTAGCATATTATATTCATTAACACAATTCTTAAAAATGCATACTGGTTTATTGAATATATAAAGACAGCCAAATAAGTGCACATCTGTCCCCATACTATTTCCTGGAGAAGAATCAGTTTGACAGACAGGCAGAGGGTTTCGAATGCTGCGGGTGAGAAGAGGGACATATCTGCCTTCGGAGTTTTGGGGGCGGGGGGTTTTTTTTTTTTTTTTTTTTTAAACAACATCTATTTTGTGCCGGTATCTAAAGTAATTCATATTTTAGGTCTTTGAGAAGGGAGCCTTTTAGAGAAAAAGGTGCATCTAGAAAATGGATCAAAGTTTTAAACTCCGAAAGAAGCAAGAGAGTTCTAGAAACAAGTTATATACAACATTTCAATGGCTACACAGAATGAGCAAAATACTCTGAAAACAAATATTAATAACAAATTACTGAACCCAATCACTGAAGGTATTTAAAAATATAGGTAAAAATTGTTAAAACATTTATTGTCTGTAGAAAGATTTACATCAATTTTATAGAAACTATGTTAAACATACATATAAGCATACCTAAATCTTAATATATACTTATGAACATGGGACTTCTGGATAAGGAATAACATTTTCAAACACACCTTTGTGGACTCGGAAGACTACAGACTTAAAATCCTCCTGCATTTAAACTCCATCTTCTGTAGATTAAAAGCGTTATTTCTCATCCACACTTAGGAAAAAAAACATTAAAGGTTTCCAATCCTAGTGTGTGTGTACATGCACATGTGTGCATGTATACATATATGTACATAAACAGACTTAGATGGTCCTTAGGGTGGAGGAAACTAGTATAAAGTAAGGTCAACCTTAAGGTACTCTTTAGAAATGGACACTAGGCCACATCCCCATCCACTGGGGGGGGGGGAGAAGCCTGCTATTCTTAAAGCAAAACAATGAAGCTTCTTTTATTTCACGAAGAGTGTACTAAACAACTGTTTCCACCCTGCCTTCTTCCCTGAAGGATAAGACGTAAGAGAAGCCAGTCACACAATAAAAGCCATCTACTACATTATTTACAGAAAATGAAATATTAAAAGAGACAATATGAGACTTGGGCAACTTCGACAAAATTCGGAGCAATGAACGGAACAGAAGAAAGCCCTATTGAAGTGGAAGGCAGCAAAGATAAATCACATGGCTAAATAACTACTCAGAAACCCTCCAACAAGAAAAAAAAAAAACATCAGGCCAGGAGCAGGCGATACGACAATGTTTTTCTCATATTTCTAACACTGAAAATGTATGCTTACCAAACACGAAACAGAACACAGTTAAATGTTCATTACTGTCCTTAAGGTCTGCCAAGGAGTTATGTGTTGTAAATAGGCTTTCAAAGTTCTTGAAATGGCTTTTGTTATTTTTCTCCCTTCTCTGTAAGGAGGCTGAAGAACCTCTTATCTTCATATCCTGCAGCAGTGGAATGAAGTCTATTAAGGGCCAGAGATGTGCAGAAACATCCAGTTTTTGCAGATTTTTGGGGTGCAAGTCTTAAGTCTTTCCTTTAGAGAGTTCTCCCATAGAGAACTTTGCAGATGGTGGTTCAGATGCTTAAAGAAAGGCAAAAAGCATATTTCTAAGGAGTACGGGAAAAAGTTTCCTTCAGAAAGCAAAGTTCAAGATCTCCCTCTAATTGCAGTCTTTAGGGTGAAAACTCAAATCAAGTCCCCATACCTTAATCCTTGCTATGACCTTTAATCATCTTCTCCAAGCAACTCTCACTATCCAGGACATGACAAGACATGACCTTCCAATGAATAAAAAGCCAGTTGTGAAAACGCTGCCTTTTGTAATACCACAGAAACGTAATACTGATCTTTTTTAGCAACTAAGTTTGTACAAAGAAAATTCAGCATTTCATCCTCAGGCCCTGAGAGAGAAGACAGCAAGTAAAATATTATCACAACTGGGTGAATTTTCTCCCTCCCTATGCCATCAGTTACCCGAGTTGAAATAGATGTCCTATCTTGAGACCTGGACCTAACTAAATCCATCGGGTAAGGTGATTTAAATTTTGCAAATAATTACTAGAAGTTAAGGCAGATGTCTATATAGCTCACAACGTGTTGCTTATTACTAGCCCCACAATTTTGTTAAACTTGTGAATTCAATCATCACAAAGTTTAGATTCACAAAATGAGCAGTTTAATTTCTACATTGGTTGGTTAGAATCCTCAGCAATGCAAATGCTAATGCCACAATAACTTACTATCTTAGACACTTGTAAGGAGGTCTCTGATCACATTAAATCATTGCATTTTGCAGTAAAAAAACAAGTTCACATGAGAACAATTGAGAATATGACAAAGAGCATTTAGCAGTCATTTCACATTGGTCAAAAGAAAATACATTTATAAAAGTATGAAACAAAATTAACTAGCTTTTAAACAATCACATTTTTAACTTGCACTTCCAATGCAAGAGTGGTGACAGGCTTTACCAGTAAAAGAGATGGTATTTTTCTTCTGAGGCTGAGGACTATACACATATTTAAAGTTATTTTAATCCTTCCATTAGGAACAATGGCATTCAGAATGTTAAAGTATTTTTTGTTGTTGTTTAGCTCCAAGAGGAGGTTTTCTACAATGCAGTCTCAATACAGAAAGGCACCAAATTGTTGAAGTAAACTGACCTTTCTTATACTTAACACTAATTTTCTCATCTATGCCTTGACAACCCAGTTCCTTCAATATATTATTCTCGGCCAAACATTCTGTACCAGCACAACAGATGCTACTTTTCTGTGTAGAAAGGAAAAGAGCTGATTATTTGTGTGCGAGTACATAGATGCAACACTATCTAATCCAAAAAGATATACCTACACAGCGCTCGAGCCACCTTAAGTCTCACATCAGATAACAATACCTCATAGACAGTTAGGTTCCCTCTAGCACCTAACAATTACAAAGTTCAATTTCTGTATGATTTTTTTAATAAGGCAGAAAGTTTTGTCATGGCAGAATCCTGAATTAGTGAAGCAAAGTCATCAATAAAGAATGTGATTTGAACAAATGGTATCATCTTAAACAAATGCTAAAGCAACTGAAACATCAGAGACTCCATTTCATTATATGACACTCATCTTGGGACTGGGGATGGGTGAGGGGGGAAAAAAAGAAAAAAAAAAATCAGTGAACATATCAAAAATGCCTTTTGTTTGTAATGTGCTGCTCTCAGTTGTAGAAATAAAAGTTAGAGATGCCTACTCATGCACAGGTAGAACTAGCAAAGCACAAAGTCAGTCAGAGGAGCCATTCACACTTCTAAATCCGGATTTCATAAGTGAGAAGCATTAAGCCTGACTGGGCAGCGCTAATTCCCAACAAGGTTATCAAAACTGCCGTATCAGAACTTTCTTCACATAGCCACTTTTTCCTCATTTGCTCAACAACAAATTCTCTTCCAGGCTTTTGTAAGAACACTGCAGGAAGCTTACAGAAACAGTAATATCCTGTTGAATAAGACAACGCATCTTCAGTTATTTGTCCTACTTAATATACATTTCACTTGTGTGTTTTACAGTGCTTTATCACATTCAGGAGCAGTGTGAATAGCTTGTTGACTGAGGTTAAACCTGGCACCAATCTGCAGGGGTTCACTGCAGCACTTCCCTGCTAGTGGGCTGCTCCGTATTTGCTTTGTGTTGACTTTTCTAGCCTTCCAATTTAGCTGTTTTAATTCCATTTAAAACCATTTTAAGAAGTATGCAAAAATCATATCCTGACTTTCCAGCAAAAATTAGATGTCTTTTTTCTCTGAAGATACCTCTATCCAGTATTAGGAGTCTATTATCCATAATAGGGAATAACTTGCATTATACATGGCTAACACTGTCCTAGAAATGACAGATACGTTAAACTGCATACAGTGATCAACTTTTTCCTTAAAACAAATGAGAACATCTTCTCCGGAAACTACATATGTATATTTAATTTACCTGGAATAAAAAGTCTGAACAAATCTTTAATACATACACACAACCCTACCATATACTATATATTAAGGCAAGAGCTATAAATAGGAAATAAACACAATATTGTCTATAGCCAATGATAAAATATGTCTGCCTATTTGAATTTTGCATACAGCGTAACAATATTGCGATACAGTAAACTGCAGAGATTTACTGGGATTTTAAACAAAAAATTACAAGCTATCTGCATTTAAAGCAGTTTCAATTATAAACAGCTTTGTTAGAAGACATGCTTATAAAATTTGTGTTTTTGTTTTTTCTTGTATTTAAATACTTCAGGCTCCATCTTCAGAATCCATGAAATAGCGGCAAAAAGATTAGAGAACCCGTGGCTTGGTCAAGAATGTCATACACTGAAAAGTGTAATGAGACAGAATATTTCTGAATACAGACCAACTAATCCTCTAACAAACCCAAGCATGCTTTCAGTGCAGTTATAAACTACTGCTAGAGTACATTACATACCTGCCCATTACCATATATCTTAATCAAATGCTGAAAGTTGTCTCATTTTAACAACTTACAAATGTGTATATACACACATCAAAAACTCAAGTTTAATAGTAAACTAAAATGAAGTAATACAAAATACTGCTTTACAGAAACGACTGAACAGAGGTGTAACATCTATTGCACAACCTAAAAGGTCATTACTTGGAAAATCCTGAGCTAATGTGCTATTACCAACAATTCAGGCACTTTTTTTTTTTTTTCCTTTTTTATTACATAAGCAATAAACTTCCAACATATAAACCTCTGTGTATAACAACTCAGGTTCCATCTGTAACATCATGCTTAGAGAAAAAGTATTCAATAAATAAGACTCCCTTCAATGATTTCTCTGCTTGAGACTGGTATGCAAAAAAGAACTAAAGGTACATACTACAATGTTTCAATTGAATACTGTAATTTAAAAGCAATTATTAAAACTGTAAAAAAGTTCTGCAGCATTCCACTACTGAAAAATAAAGTTATTTTTATCAAGAAAGTTACACTGTTAGTTCATTTATCCTATTGTAATTCTTGACAAAGTTGTCAAAAAACACATTCTCCCTTTGCTGTGTTGTATGTTCCAGCCTCAGGATCACAGCTCAGTTCAGGTTTCTGTTGCAATATTTAAGTGTTCCTGCAGAGAGGGAAAAACAATTGTTATGTTAAGCTGTAAAAGTTGAAGAAAGTCTCCCAGCTTCCATATAATACATAATATAGTAATATAGTACTTAACAAGACTACTGCTGTATAATTTTAGAATGAAATAGCACAACTGTAAAGACAGTACATTAAAGGATGCATATGCACAATAATTTTAAAAGGATGAAATATATCATAAAGCTGTTCTGACAAGTTTAATTACTACACAGGTAAGCAAAAAAGGGAAATGCTGGAATCTTAAGAACAGTTTTGTTTTTAAAGAATTAGCCAACCAGCAAGCGGTATGCAGTTAAGAAAATGACTGTGTCACATTCACTCGTCAAGGCCTATTTTACTTTAAATCAATGGTATTCAGTTTCTTCAAAGGTCATTAAAAACCCAATATTTAGATCTTATTACGCTTCTCTATAATTCAAACCATGATATCCAGTAGCCAGATTTTAACACAGTTTTAATAAATTCTGGACAAGAACTTTATCATCCAATTATAGGACAGCACTGGAAATTCAGGGAAAAGAGTCACTACCACAAAATTGCAGTGGTTCTATCCCTCTTTTACAGCTTCGTAATTTTTGGGAAAAAAATCCTTCTGCGTCAGTTTTCCCCTAATTTCAGTTCCATCAGAAATCATACTTCTCGCCCAAATCTGAAAGGCTTCCCCCCACCCCTCCTCAATGACTGGAAACTTGAGTTTTGAGAAAACGGCTCTTGGAGCCTGTGCTTCTGTGCTCTAATAGCAGAACTCTAATCCAACTACAAACACATAATGGACTCACTCTCAAAACTAACAAGAACTTGCACAGAAATCACTGGAATGATTGCGACTTGTACGTCGTCTAATCCGATTCCCTGATGTCAAGGGGAACCGCATATACTTTGATCATACTGTGATCAGCTCTAGTAAAAGATGCAGAACGTTGTAACTACTGATCCTCACAAAAGCTGTAAATTTTATATGGTTCAGAAGCTCTTCTGCAGTTCTCCAACATTATCAGTCTCATACACACTGCCATCCAAAAGATATTACAACATACATGCCTAATTATTTCAGCCTGAGCTTATTAAAAACCATTTTACACAGACATTTTGTATCGCAGGATGCTTTATTCAGAACAGCATTTTAGTGTGTAATTTCAATCATGTGATGAACTTAAGGTAACATACAAAAAAGAAATACATAGACCAAGTCCTCAAATGTTCCCCCCACACCCCAAAAAAAAAAAAAAAAAAGAAGTTTTCAATTCTCATCAACGTGAAATCAGATCAATTGAGCTCCAAAAGAGCTTACTGAAATAGAGGCATTGCAGGTTCTCGGGGCTCACCTCTGATTTTCAACTATCCAAAGTTTCTAAGTTTTCAAGGGATAAACATGGAGGAAGTGACTGCAGAATCAAATTTGCCTGCAAAGTGCAAAGATCCGGTATTCCAAAAAAATCCCATCCAAGTTACTCCATGAAATAAAGTGAAGTGAAATGGATCAGAAAGTGAAGTGGATCATTTGAATATTCACATTTTATACAAGGGTTTAGTGAAAAATAAGTTCAGCCAACTCACCTTTTCTTTCCTTAAAAATCCATCTCTGAATTTATTAGTGGTAAATCCCCTTACACCAACAGAACGTAACCGCTGGTACTTAGCCTGAATATATAAACCCTTCTGTACTAAGCCTGATTTATAATGGGATTGCAAACGGCCATCTGTAAAGTTGCTCTGTAGGGGCGGGGGAAGGGAGAAAAAAATGCACAAAATGAGGGCATGAAAACTCAAAAGTTTATATTTAGTTATATACATACGTAAAACTTAAAAACAAAGAGTACTGCTGTTCAGTACTGTAAGTGTAGCGCTCCTTCCATTATTTCCAACTTAATGTTCTTCACACTACAACATAGCGTGTGGATCAAACTGCAGTATTGTACTTACTGTACAAAACAACGAAAATATTCTCCCTCATAGAAAAATGAAAAATGTTAAGAGGTTTTACAATACATGTACTAACTATAATAGGAAAACAACATAAACAGAAACAGTGTAAGACAACACCTCATTATTGCTAACAACTTCAGTGATGCCAGGCCCACAGTGGGCACACATCTTGAATATAAAAAAAGTCGTATTAACTAGAAGTCAGTATATCAATGTTTTCTATGGTTTTAAGGACTGAACATACATTCATTGCTCTGTGCTTTCATCACCCCCAGACTGGGATACTGTAAACTAACCTGATGCGGGACCAGGAGTGAAGGCCACAGAGATAACAAAAAACTTGTGGGTGAATGGCATTACAAATACACAGAACCAACAAGACAGCAAGATCAACACTGATAACAGCAATTAAAATTACAAAAAGTTTTACATTCCTAAGCACTCAGACCTCCAGCACAGTAAGTGATAAAGTTTTAAAAAGAGTAAGGAAAACCTAGACTACCATAATTTCTCATAGTTTTTTAATACTGCAGTTTTAAGTTTTTTAACTTGGTCCTGACAGCAAGCATTAGCTGTATACGTTCATCCTTTAAATAAAAAAAGTTCAAGGGGCTTTCAAATAAAAAAGACAGGAAGCATCCTGACCTCGTAAAATCCTTGTTATTTTTTTATAAAACAGTTTTAAAGGGCACGAGAGAACAAACATACCACAGAAATAACTTTTCTTGAGAAATCCCTAGTTACTTCAGCAGAATCAGTCTCCTTTTGACAAACTAAGGACCATTTCAAGAAAATCACACGCTCTGAAGTTGTAATAAATTTGGTACCAGTTTTTCCACCGTGTGGCTCATGAGTAGCTAAGGAAAAACTGTGCAGGACAGAGGCTCCTTTATGCAAATGCAAAGTTTTTGCTATTTCATACATCACTTCACCCACCTACGATGCAGGACGTAACTGAAAAGGTGACCCCATCAGTCCCCAGGATGACTTTACAGTGCTTCTAGGCAGAGAACATTTGCAGAAGGCTACCAAATGCTAACTTCTTTTCAGTAAAGTATCAGAGTCCCGGCACAATGCAATTAAGTGCAAGTACATTCCTTAAATAGGCATATGCCTACCATAGGGAAAAATGGAAGGACATTTTTAATGCTATACTAAGCCCCTGAACACAGTTAAAATTAGAGATTCCCACTCCTTTCATAGCTGTAGTTCTCTGCCCTGACATAGGTGGCTAGAAAGGAGGCCCTGGTGCTCCATCACTGCATTTATTTAACAACAAGTAAAGGAGTAGACTGAATAAGAAAGGAGAAAAAGGTACAAGATATTGGAAGGAAGACGACATACAGCTTTTAAGTTCCAGCTCAAACATCTACATGTTCCATAAGCAAGGTGGGGTGGGGAAAATGAAAGAGGTTTTATTAAAACAGAACAGAGTCAACTGTAGATAAAGTTAGCAGGTTAAACATTTAGTATGTAGGCACTGCAGTCATACACACCTTAGATTACTTCATTTTGCTCTAAACTACGTGAAAACATCACTAGCTTCCAGTTTAAAGCATGAAACATTTTATGCTTAAGTGACATCTAGTGTTACATTGAGTAAGATCTTATCTTACAAATAATGCAAATAAGAATGCCTATGAACCAATTGCCTCAGGTTCTGAAACAGATCTATGAGCAAATATGCTCCATTAATACGCTAAACTGCATAAAAACAGTGAATGAAGTTTAGAATTAAAGGTTACCATGTATGCATCCACTTAAAGGTTACCTTAGCGATTCACTGTGAGATGCCATTACAAGAGAGACCTTTTAAATTTTGTAAGATTTCTCCAGTTCTTTTATAGAACTGCTGCTCTAAAATATCTTAGTTTTAGCAAAAAGGTTAACATAACACATGATTTTAAAATACTGTAAACAAACTCCCTCATTTCATATATCAGGGAGAAGGGTTTCTTTTTTTTTTTTTTTAAATCAACCAATAAAATCTTTCAAATGTAAAAAATAGTCAAATCATCTTCCTAAACAGGCTTCAGCAACAGCACAGGCAGGAAAAGCCTTCTATGTTATGCAGGTGGAAATTCAATATAAAAAAAGCTGATGACATTAAGTCAAGTCAGCACTACTGTTTCCACAGCAACAATCATAAACGTGCTTTACACGTAAGTAAACTGCAACAGTAGTCCGTATGCTATTTTACCTGCAAGTTTTAAAGCACCATGGGACAGAGCGATAGTCAGGTTTCACAAATACATGCGATGCCAGCTCAAGCATACATTTTCACTCTTCTACTAACTCTAGCAGAATTCTAGGCTGAGGTAAACGAAGCCTTAAGGTACATTAGCTGACAACAGTCCCCCACAGCTGATACAACCAGCGCTAGAAAGCCATCCATCCCCTACCCTACAGGCTGACAATGCAGAGGGGATACCGATAAGAGGCCATGAGGTCAGCCTGACACAGTGATAACTATTTTAACATGTAAAAACATTTTAAACTTGCTAACTTCAGCTTAGAAAAACATTTTTTACAGCACCATCAAATTAGCCCTTTCTTGATGGTGTTAGCTTAGCTATCCAGCAGACTGACTGGCAAAGTGTACCTCCCATTTCGGGAGAGCCCAAAAGCATCTTTAGCTCATGGCGCTCTCATGTTTAGTTTGGTGGGGGAGGATGGGGAACAGTCTACTCAAATTCATCCAAAATGCCAGTTACCTAACTAAACCATCAAAAAAAGCTTTACTTCACCATCTACAAAACAGGAAAGATTGCTACCTATTCTACATGTCACGTTACTCCTGAAAACAGACCTGTAAAAACATATCAAATCAGAGGAAAAAAAATATTATTCGGGGTTTCACTGAAACATTTTCTGATGGATTAAAAGTGATTTCTGATGGCTCATGGAAAAAAAAAAAAAGGTAATAAAATGGGAAAGGATACTCTATACCCTAACACAATGACCTAATGAGTTAAATAATGAATAAAGGTAATTTTAAGTAAAAAAATAGATTTGCCCTGGATTTGATTACTACCTTTTTGTTATGAACAAATCTAACTGGATCCAGGCACAGCATGCCAGTGCCAGCAGGAAAAGGGAGGGTTTTTTGTTTTACTGACCCCATGATACATTTTACAGTCAAAAGGCATTAGAAAGGCACTGCATTACCCCAGGAAGCAGCACATTTGCCCACCACCCTTTCACCACCTTAAGGCCCTGAAAATAAAACTTTATAAAACTCAAATTTATATGAAAAGTGCAGAGATAGCAGAATGTGAGGTATTTATGAGACGAGATTATTTCTCCAGAAATCCCTATATAAAAATACAAGTTAAATGTAATAATACAATTCTGAAAGCAATACAATTTACTTCACCTAATCTTAGGCAATTATTTAGGCTTCCATGCATGTTTGGTGAAGGAAAGAACGCTACCCAGCTTGTTTTGATACACAGGCTTTCTAGTCATCGTCCGCTTTCTATAATTCTCATTTACAACTTTACAGTGAACTAATTTCTTTCTTTCATCGGTATGGATGTAATAGGGGACAGTTTAGCTCAATCAACTGCCGGGCCTCTGACCCGCTAAAACCTAAGCCTCCCATCACCTCAAGTAGGAACAATTCAGCTCTGACGCCACTATTTTTTCCATGGCATTTAAGATGGTTTAAAGTGTTTCCTGCTGCTGAAATCAACAGGATCAAATGACAAGTTTATGTAACAAAAACATCTGATAAAAGTTGATCTGTACCTTAAAGTGTCTCCTAATGGGTCCTGTATTTTCAAGATGTCCTCTAATCCGTCTGTGAGGGAAAATATCGTTTGTTTTTGAAGAATAGTAAGAATTCTAGGGGAGGGGAAAAATAGCAGTTATTAGCTTGCTATTGCTGAATATTGATTATTTATAACAGATAAATTGCCAGGTTAAACTAACTCGTATTGCAATCTTTCGCATCTCATAGCATGCCCGACAGGGTTTAAAGGCACCAGAAGGCCAGTAGCACACGGCCTGGGGTTCAAGCTGGCTGAAGTGACGGCAGATCCCACAGAAGCCAAAGACAACACAAACCATCATACTGGAATATCATCCCCTTGGGTTGTTACCTGCTCAGACCTCTCTGACTAAGGTTCCCCACCCCTGTTCCCCCAGAATGCCCCATTTTGCATGTAGCAAGTGTAGTAGGTAGGCTGCTACAGCCGTCATCCCTTCAGTCAGGAATAAGAGCAACGCCATTAGTACCCTGGAGACCCTGGTCAGCACATGGTCATCATAGGTTAGTGTACTTTTGAGCAGATGCATGCATTATTACTATACTGTTGCTATATAAACAGCAGCAACTAGACAGCAAATGCGTAATATCATAAGCCACGTTACATTAGTCCTTAGAAGATCCTACTTTTAACTCCCTTTGTATTACCGAACAGTACTTCAAAAAAAGACCTGCCTGCCACAGAAACATACATCATTTCAGAAACAGGTGGCACAGATAAGCGGTATCAAACTTGTCTAATGTCGACACACTGAACAGCTGCAAGCAGACAGCCACGGTTGCATATAACAGAGTACTCCCTCCAGCCATTGCTCTACCTGTGTATTTTCACACTTTTTCAACTTTTCCCATGACAGCTCCCTTGAGCTGATGTATATTTTAATATACACAGCTTAAAAATTATCATCTTTTCCATTTCTCATATATATAATTACAAGCATTTACAGAGGTATTACATACTGCCACGTACTACACTAATGTCATGTACTAGAGAGAACTGAATTGCCAATGAAAACCAGAAAAGCATGCCACAATGAAACTTTTTGGTCTTCATTAGTAACATAAGTTGAAATAGCTATCAAATATTTTAAAAGTTTCAAATCCTGGGTAATAATTCAAGATGCTGAAGTGTTATTTCTGTCAAAAAAATCGTTAACGCATTTTTGAAGTGGTATCTTTTGAGCTGTGGTACTGTTATGCTTGCCCTGTGAAACCTGGCCCTCTGATATATTCTTTTCTCTCAATATTTACCTGCAAACAAGAGCAAACAAACCGGAGCGTGTGAAGGTTAGAGTATTTGTTGTGGATTTCCTGGGGTCTGGGTTTTAAAATTACAGGCGGAACACCTAAACACAAGTGGTAAAAGATGTCCACTGCATATTTTCATGTATTTTCCAACACCTTTACAATTTTGCTGACACTATGTGCTACATCTGAGGCATAAAACAACTTCCCCCAAGAACTGGAGAGCTCTGGACTTCAAAGTTCTTGGACTGAAACAATCCTTACCCAAGAAACTGTTTAAAACTGAGCAAAACAACAGAAAAAGTTACTTCCTCATCCTATTAACTATTACCTCAGGTCTTGTTTGTGTTTCAATCCCTTCCTCAATCTTTCAACACACGCGCTCCGCTAATATACCTTTCATTTTAGGATGTTTAATATTTAGCAAGATGCGGCCCAGCATCAATGTTGCAGTGACCCACCAAACCGCTTAAATCCAACACACTGTTCTCTGACATGACCCTTTAGCTGTGGTCCTTATGTCTTCCAGTGTGCACAGCGATGTTCACACCTGAAACGTTCTTGATATAAGATACTCTGAATCACAAGGTCCAAACATCTGTCCTCTTGCATAAAACAGGTAGGAGTGGCTTTTACCTTCATGTATTTGTTTTTTTAAAGCTGCTTTCAATTCCATTAGTATCACATTTACAAGTAAAGTAACTATGGATACAGTCACGCAGCTCAAAATTTATTACAAAAAGCCTCCTCAACGCTGAAATTACTCTTATACACATAGCTGAAATTACTGCTGGCCACTTGGAAATCATTCCACTTCTCAACTCCCACAGTAAGTACCAAAGCAATGCCAGAAGCTTACATGTGCAGAGATCGAGCTTGAACTACTGTCCTTCAGGATAAGATCTCTTCCGCAATAGCACCCAACCTAGCAGGGGAACAGGCACTGGCCAACCACACAAGGAACCGCTTCAGAAAAGGTCATTTTGAGCACCATGCATTCTCCCATAGCACGTGTACACATCCCAAGAAGTCCACACCACCAGAGCTAGCTTCCTCAGCTTAATCAGCCATACTGCCTCTGACAGAAGTGCTGCTGTATCGGTGATCTCTGCTCAGGACAAGATTGCCCTCTTTCTACATGATTTTACACGTGAAGCATTAGACATACTAGACAAACTAGAAAACAGACAAAGGGAGCAGAATAAGAATCAAAGGCAAGGGCAAGAATAAAACTAGAAGAGAAGATGCAATTAAAAGCTGGTAATTAATGACTATGGACACTTTTGCAAAACGTGATCCCAAGACAGGTGGCTAGCTTTGATTAATTTTTTTTTTTTTACTGACACGCGGACAGCCAACCAAAACAAGCATTTTGTCTTCCCACTTATCTACAAACCGATTTGTGCGTGGCTGACTTTGAAAAGTCATCCCTTCTTTAGAAGGCCCTGTATTTTTAATATCATGCTTTTGGGGCTGCTGTGTTCTGAATGGCTAACTGCTCACTGCTGTTAATCTTCCTATTAGATACCAAACTGCAGTTTTCCTCAATCTTCAGCAGGCCGAGCGCAATAACTTGCTAACTCCCTTTCTATTTGCAATGTCTACACTACACCTCATAAGCTTGTTTTTCAGGGCTTTAGTCTTAGTCTGGAATAAATAACATTTTTTACTGTTAAAAGCTGTTGTGTTGCATTGTTTTACACTCAAAAGATGCACTGGTAATGCCTCCAAGGCAGCTACAATTTCAGTGATGGGTCAGAACTTTGACTAAATAAAAGCTACTTCTGCTGGACCTCAGAAGGTCTTCTGGAACTCTGTCAGCAGAATATTGATTGCAACATATGAGGAACCCGCTATTTACATGAACCTCCTCCTTATTTTACAGCCACCAGAAAACACAGGTTACAGAGATGTTTATACTGTACACACTTCAATAAAGCTTTTCTGGTCTCTCCAGTCGCCCAAGTTAAACAAGCAAAAACACTTGGAAATGAGACTGCATTTATTTAAAAGGAAGTTTCCAACAGGGACAATTTCATTTCTACCCAGTGTAACTGTCTTTCCCATTTCAGTATCAAAGTACATCACAAAACGAGAGCTAAGAAAGAGTAAGTGTCCAAACCAGTTTTGATAAACTCAGTATCAAACACAGAATGAGCTATTCCTTTGCATAACATTCCATCCTCAGGGATGGAATTTCAGGCATTTCTAATTATTTCTGTGATCTGTTCTTTACTTTTAATTATTTTAAAACAAGAGCCTTCCAGAACCTCTTTTATCATAATACAGAGAAACTACACATTAGTAACAATACCACCTACACAAAACAAGATCCAGGCTTTCCTTTCCAACTGCTGGCAACTAGACTGCAGTATTGTATTCCCATTTCCTTTTCCCCAAACTATGCCACATTACCTCAGATTACCTCCTCAATAACAAGGTTCTCTAATCTATGGTTTAGGTAGAATTTTATCAAGTGGAAGAAATGTGATATGCACTGCAAAATTTCTTTTATAAAGCTATCGCAATACGAGTTATTTCATAAAGTCCCTTAATTAATTCAGCAGGTCATTAAGAAGCCAACATTATTTTGACTTGTCCCAATGATTCAACAGGAGATCTAAAACTAACCACCCTATTTCCTCACTCTCTGAAAGAGTTTTTTGATTTCTGTATAAATACATCCAACACCACCAACCTAACCTAACTTTCTGAAACAACAAGTCACCAGCCATCTCCTTGCTAGCTTATAAGAACACTAGCAATGGTGTTGTTTTTGGAATAGTACACAGCCATTCAAAACACAAAAGAACTAATACTTTTGTTGAACTAGCATTTGGTCATAAAAATGGTTTCAGCTGACATGAATTAATCTGTGCTGCAACAGATGTCTGAGGCAGTACTGTAGAGATGTTAAATTACGAGCAGTCAGTTTTAGCATTAACACTTGAACAAATCAATCGAGAGAGGGTAAAACCTCAATTGAAACTCAAAAGGACAAGAAATGAAAGGTCCTTAAGTTCACATCAACCTAGGTAATGCAGCAAAATATGTGTTGATATAGGTATAAATATAAGGAAAACAAATGCTGAAGTTACTACTTCACATTTACGCTTACCAGATGAGGTTTCCCAATAAATTTCCTGAAAGGTGGTTTAAAGAACCTCATAGGCTTTTGGAAGCCATCAAAATAGGAGTTTCGTAATTTTGAGACACTGCAGCTTTGCTGGTTCCTGATCAGAAACAGGAGAAGGGCAAAGAGAAAAAACAATTAAAATCTAAATCCAGAATGTATCAAACAGAAAATGACCTTATTCATCACTTAAAAGTGCAAAGTGATGCTTTTCAAGTGATATTAATCTAGGATGTTTGCTGACAAATTACTTGTCTTCCGGCTAAACAGAATCCCATATCACCCAGAACTACAGAGTAATCTGTATTTTGTTATGCCATTATGAATAAATGGAGATTTACGGTCTTGAAATCCTCACTATGCAAATCAAGTTTCTCTGGCTCACCCAGCTATGCCTGCACAGTTGGTTATCACTGCCCTCTACTGGTTCAAATGCTCTTGCATCTATCTTCATAATTGCACAGAACTTTCCATTTTATGAATTTCCAGATCAGGAACAAGCTACAGATAAATAGCTAGATGCTAGTTATATGCTCCAGTTTCATCCTCAACAAGCCAGGTGCTGTGGCCTCGAGGTTTCTTGGGTTGTTTTTGATTTTTTTTTTTTTAAACTAAGCATATTACTAATATAAATGGGTCCATCAACCTCTAAAGAGAACATTTACCATGAAAAGTAATTATGAGAGGTCAAAAATCCATGTTTTTGGAAACATACAGAAACAGTTTCCACAGACGTAAAATAAATAAATATGCCAGAAATCAAGACACACTGATTAGACAATGTCAATATCTCACATGTGATTGAAGAAAAACCCTAGATCTAGGGAAAACTGTACCCACCATCCATACCATTAATGCCCTCAGCCCACATTATGATGCACACCAGCTGTGACACTCATGTCTACCCTGCTCATGTCTAGCATAAGAACAGCCACGCTTCCTAGAGAAACTTGAGCAGCAAGTTTCATAAGCATAAGCAGCATATGAAGAGAGTCAGCAGATCAATTGCATCGGCAGGGTGGAATTATCTGGGAGATAATTCCCAGATTACCAGGGAAATGCTTACTAAAAACAGGGCTAGGTACATAAAAGACTATATGCAATAGGCCAAGAAATTTTTTTTTTTGGTCTAAAGATGAAAGGTGTCAAACTCAAATACAGGAAATCTATTTCTCCTCCAGCTCTCAGCCCTGTGCCCACCAGTCACCTTTCCTTTGTACGTGTGTACTGCCACAGTCTGTCATTATAGACTACATTTAATAGGATGCTGTCTGTTTTTAAGACAATATCTTGAAATGAAGACTATAGCGTGGAATCATTTCCTTATACTTCAGCAATTTTTCACCTAATCTCTTTTCATACAAATAAGCCAAGCCATCTCTGCAGTCAACCCACCCTGTGGTATCAAAAAATGAAACAGGATGAGTGAGGATAGCAAGTGTCTCTGGGCCAAATGTCTTGGAGGAATTCATAACAGTAATAAGCTATTCCAAAATCTCCAGTTTTCCTCCATAAAATTCTCCCAGAACCAGAAGACCTCCTGTTTTTTGCTGGCACTCCAAATGACATTACAGACGACCAGGACAGCATGGCACATTTATTTTAGAATGCTTTTGCAAAACTATAAAATACTAATAGAATGTTATATGCCATTAAAAAAAGGAGAAACAGTTAAGTCTTTTTAAATTAATGTCTTCCCTCCTTCCCATTCAGGGCTACAGCTTGAGTTTTTTGTTTTTTTTTTTTTTTTTTCCTCTCTCCACTGCAGCTTAATCTCTTTCAAGGTAACACTTTATCACAGAGTAACTTGCAGGAGCATTGGCAACGTATGTCAGCAGAATTTCAATCCACGTCAAACTTACAAGGACAAACTCTACCAAAAAGAATCAGAGCATACTCGAATGCAACTGTGGGAAAGTCTCAAAAAATAAAATGAATGCGTAAGAGAACTACAGGCTTGGGCAAACAAAATTAGTCTGGCTAATTACCTTGGAGTTACATCATCTATATGAAATACTCTCTCATCTTCATTCTGCAATCTCTCTTTTCTTCTCCTCTCTATATCATGCCGTAGATCATGTGGATCTTCTAGAACTCTCATAATGTTCTAGTTAAAAGGAAGGGTTGAAGTCAGGTTGGTTCAATAATAACCAAACAATACTAACCAAACAATACTAAGCAATGCAATGGACTTAATTTTGCTTCTCAGGGATCAGGGCATGTATAACCTTAATTAAGTAGTTCAACTACCCGCACTTAAGACAGATGCGTATCAACCCAAAAATCCAAAGTCCAGAGCAGTTACAAAAAAAACCAGTCCCACACAATCACCCCCTACATCTACCTTGTCACAAATTTCCAAACAGTGAACAGAGCACTAGAACAGCACAGTATATTTCAGCACGGAGTTGCCGAGGCAAAAAAAAATCACACAGATTCCAGTAATAAGGTCTACTGTTCTGAACTCGCATCTCCACATACATGTACTATAGAAAAAAAAAAAACACACACACACACACAACACTAACAGTTACAGGAAGCATGGCCTGAAAGGGGAAAGAGAGAATCCCACGCCCTTGGATAAAACCATGGGATAAAATTCTGATCTTCCATCTGGACGTTCAGTCAGTCTAAGATTAGGATAGAAAAAGCCTTAACATCTTCTGTAACTTCAGATGGAAAGTTGGATTCATATGTCAAAAGTCATCTGCTTAGCCTTTGTACTATTTTAAAATAGATAGTTTTTCAAGCATCAGAAATAACCCCTTAAAACACTCCAGCTACTCTAGAACAGATCTGTATGTTGCCGATCAGTATACCGAGCACAGTATACTTGCACCATTCAAATTACGTGTGTAAATATACTAAAAAGTGCGTGCACTTCTCTAAAAATAGACAAAGCTACTGATGGTCTTCAAGGCATGTAAAAATGGCTTAGCAACAGCAAAAGAGAAAGATTTGTTACATGCGACTATATCATTTCAATTATTTATTAACTTTTCTGACCAACAGTAAGATACCTGTGGAGATTCAGATGGCACAGCTCGTTTGTTCTGAAGTTCTGCTAGAGACATATCAATCCTCCTGAAACAACAAAAATATGATATAGAAAACGTGCATCGTAAGTAGCAAGGCCATTATTACTAACTACAGAATTCTTTACAGACTGTTCCAGGCAGTTTAGAGTCAGAGAAACAACACTCCAGCTACTTGTGTTCAGCTGCATTGTATAAAGCCCTACTGAAGATTCTTAACTAGCTTAACAGAAATAAAAGCAAAAGCGTATCAATTACCTGTGAATTTCTGGATCCAAACGTGTTTTAATTTCATTTATATTTGCAACTGGTTTGTCCTGAATTTTTGAGAACCGTTCATGTAAAGTTATGTCAGAAGATGTAAAATAATTTGCTGTGAAGAGATATTAAATGCAAGAATGTTTATTTTAATCTTAGTATTTGAGCTGTATAGTTGGAAATCATATCTTTCAAAAGATTTACTGATAAGGATATTTCAACACAACTAAGGTCAAATGGAAATACTTTGAAATTTAGAGTTTAACATTCAGAAATGAAAGATTAGGCCAGTCCAACTTAGACATCTTTCTTATTGAGTAAAATTAAGTTGAATAGAAAGGTAACTATTCATCAGCTCTATCATAGTAATACTCGATCATTATAATCTGTAGCTAACAAAGTTCAACACTGAATATTATGCAGCGGTCTAAAAACTAATCTGAAAAAGTACAGAAACCATATATGACCACAATTAATTGTGACTAAAGCAAAGCAATACACAAATGAAGCCACAGACAAACACTTGAGGTTTACAAGGACAGCATATCTAATTCATAATATATTTATAATTATTAAAAAGAAATATAAACACACACACACATATATATACCCAAAACATTATAGCCACCTTTAACTTGATGGATAATTGTAATTATTTCCTGAGTAAATTCTCTTGATGGATTGTTTTCAACGTTTTGTGTTACAGATTCCATGTGCTCAAACACTGGATGAAAATTTTCATTTTTCCTGCCAATAGCAACCAGATCATGTGACATCTGTCTCTCTGTAGTATGACTAGAAGCAGCCCTAGAATAAAAATTTGTAGATATTCACTTTAAAATAATTCAATAGATTTGAAAACTTCAAATACACTTTTAGAATAAAACAGTAAATTAAGAAGTTCACTTTTAGGACTAAATGCTAAATCTGAAATCTCATTTTGTTCCTTTTTTTTTTTTAAATTAAGGGTCTCCAGGCAAGAAATATTGGTGACAATGTAAGGAAGGAAAGCAACAATAACATACAGCTAGATATGACTGAGCTCTCAGAAATCCTTGTTTCAGTGAATTATGCAACACAATAGTTGTGAATTTTAAACTGAATTTGTCTAGATTACCAAATAAAACAGACAAACCAAGATATTGATTTAAAGTATTTTTAGTGTAATTCTAGAAGATAATTATGTGTATTTCTTTGTCTTATAAAGAACTACCATGCACCACTTAGGAACAGTTCGGAGATATTCATATCTCATGCTGTCTTTGAGAACCAAATAACCATTTAAAGTTTAGTGAAACAGCTCTCCTTCAGAGTGACCACTGGCAACGCGTGAACTTAAGAACATGTATTTTGAATCTTTTTAATCATGTTTTATTCATTCTAAATAAGTGTACTCCTAAAAGGGTTGCATTTCCTTTTAAAAGTTATTTTGATAGGGAAGTTAACACTTAAAGTTGATTCTGCTGTTCTCATTGCAATAAAAATGCTTGTCATTTGGAAAGCTGAGTTCAGGACTCAAATATTCCATGAGAAAATTTTTAGGACAGAGGCTCTCTTTACTGTGCATTCTGGAAAACGATTATGAACCTGCCCATTCTGTATCTGAAGAGTAGAAGAGAGATATCAGACAAAAATTGTCTGACAGAAGCAGCTTCTAACAGGCCCCCAGAAGTCACCCGCTTGTCCTCGGTAAACTGGAAATAAATGAACTCAAGAGGGAATTCAAACAATCTCAGTTTAGGTATTTATTGCGGACGCTTTGAATTATCTACCTTCTCCTCAGGTTTATGAAGAACATATTCTTCTCCGCTGAGGGATTTCAAGTCACGTGTTAGTTAAACGCCTAAAGCAGGCAGCACAAACACTCCAAGCCACTAGATTCTAGGAAAATTGTGTTTTAATTTTTAAAAAAATAAAGATGTTCTTCACTTTTAGCTGTAGGAAAAAAAAAACCTTCTAAACAGGAAGTAAGCTGTAATCAATATAGCAGTTTCTTCAGTCTGCAAATAATTACCATCTCCATTGTGCATGGCTCTCCAAACCAGCAAGAGACTACTACATACAGAACTTGTCCTGTGTGCTTACAACGAAAATCAACAAGAATTAAGTTATTTGTCTTATATTATCCTTCAGGAAGATAAATGATTGTCCTAGCCCTGGGGGCCATTATTCCTCTTCCCCTTCCTCACTCTTTTATATTAGCCCTCTATGTGCAGACTTGGTTTGGTCTTGACAGCATTCCACTTAATATTAAAAAAAAAGTTAGCAAAGAGGGACAAAACTTCAGCGCATGTGTTGTATTCGGGACAAGAGGCAAAATACCTTTAAAACAAAAGCCTCTCGGCTTCTAAAAGGGATTACTGCCATTATATGACACGCTTGTCTGCAACAGCAAGGTAACAAACCAAAAAACCCTGCACAAATCTATGCAATCCACACAGCTTTGCCTCTACCACGTATCTATCTAGATTTTCATAATATTAACTATTTTTTTGTTGTTTGGGGTTTTTTTTTTTTTTTTGCACAATTCAGCTGGCATGGGGAACACTAAAGGCAATCCCAAGTATTACATGGAAGATGGATACCTACTCCACTACTTTTCAGTTTTGATGCCTGAAAAAATTGCAACTTCATTTGTTACAACAATAAATAAGATAGCTCGTGGGTTCTAATATTTGACAGCTTTATTGAACTTGATCTTGGATACGTGAATGTATGCCTGAAATTCATGCAATGTAAAGGCCCTGGTTTTCAAAAGAAATAAGGGACTCTGTTAAAAAAAAATGCCAGCCTATTCCAGAAGAAAGCACAGAACTACACTATTCTACTTTTGCACTTTTTTTTTAAATTCAATATTTACTCATCTTAAGCAACTTCTAAATGCAGGTTCATGTCAGGCATATCTGCTATTTTTTCCCCTCCACTTTCTACTACACTCCTATGAAGTAAACTAGATGATTTTCTCCATAGAAATAGGTTGTAAGTTTCTGGTCTGGGCAAGCTAACCTTTTAGACAGAATAAAACAAGGAGTTACAACCTTGCTTGTCCTATTACCTCTTTAAAAAACTTTGGTTTCTCCACTATTCGCAAACTGTAAACAGACAGGAAGAAAGAACAGGCGAGGGAAAAACAATACCTGTACTTGGCCACCATTTTCTTCATATCCACTTTGATTGTGAGACGTTCCCTCCTACAGCTGACATCTGACATTTTCACATCTGAAACTGTATGACTTGAATCATGCTGGCTATTGGAGGAATCTACTTTTTTCCTGATTTCCCCTTCTTTCCTTACTCTTTCCTTCTGCTTGTTATTAAAGGATCTCAGATCAACATCCGTTTTGCAAGAGTTAACGCATGCATTGCAGCCCTTCTTTGAACTATATTTAACAGGTACTTCAACGTGCCCTTCTTCAGTCTGTCTCGCTCTTCCACCGCTAAAGTAATCTAACTCTTTGCTATCCCGGGCACCCTTAGAAGAACTGTACTTCTGGTCTTCCTGCTTTCCATACTTCTGAGCTCTATCATCTGAAAAAGACTTTTCCCCATCTGGATGCCTGCGTCGTTTGTGACTATATTCATAGGCTATCTTTGTGACAGACCCCTCCGAGTACTCCCTTTCAGCCGATCGGTGAGACTGGGCACCCAGATTTCTTTGCTCCTCCTTTTCTTTGTAGGGTGCAAAAGAACGTTCTTGCTTCCACTTGGAATTTCTTGCTATTTCTCCACCGTCATACCTCTCCATTTCTTTAGCCCTTTTAGACGTGTGCCCATATTCTCTGTAATCGTGATCTTCAGGATACCTGTGTTGACATAAAGCAATTTACACTTGCACTAGAGAAGAAAGTGAGAACTTAAATGTGCAGAATGTTGGACAGCAGAATGCGTGGCAAGTTAACCCATAATCCCTCACGTCAAGGTACAGATGTGCAAGGGCTCTTAAGAGGGAAATATTATCCTTTCATACTCTAGCCATCAATACGATTTACTTAAAAGACAAATACTTCACTACTACCAGTCGCCCATAATTAAACTACAAAGTGGCAAACGTGTTTCAAGGTGGATATCTTCAACTATAACGCAAACAGACTTTCACTTGAGGCTTTACACCACAATACCCAGGTTTTAATTATTTTATTCCTATACCTCTTCTGTAAAGAGCTCCTTGCCGTAAATTCATCAGACACTCTTCTGGGTGACTGACCATACTTCTCCTCATGTAACCTCTGGTGCCTCAAGTCATCTTCATGCCATTTTCTTTCAAGTTTACATGAAGCCCCTAATGGTCTATGAAAAGGTTTCATTCCTTTTTCGTTTCCAGTGACTTTATAGTGCTCAGACACGTATCTTTCTTCCGTTTTGTGCTGGTAAAACGGTCGGTCATGTTCTTTATATGGTATTTCTGAGTATTTTGGTGGTAACTGGTATCTCCTATTGCTTTCAGTTCTTTCTGATGAATGTGTTCTGTAGGGCTTATGACTATAAGTGTCTTCCAAGAGAATTCTTTTCAGGTTTGGTGAAGGCGACCTACGTTGATAAATTCTCTGGTGGTTATTTCCATGAGGTGCAAATCTCGAATTGCTTTGTCCATACTTTTCATCTTCTGCTCTCCAAGGCATAGACTTCTTTGGGTCCTTACGAAAGCTTTTATATTCACAGTCATAATTAATATGAGCATGCCTTTGCCTATGGTGTTCTGGACTCCTAAATGCTGGAGATAAGGACCTGAGACAAAAAAGATATAGTCTACTTTAAGCAACCCCATAAAACAGAATCAAACTCTTAACGAGAACATCTGTTCAATATGAAAGCATAATTTAGTACAGCACACAGTATTAACCAGCTAGTAAAAAAAAAAAAGTAATATAAGCCAAGATATTCAAAATATCATTTGTCTAGCTAGACCAACAAACTTACTTTCCTCCTGTTAAAAGTTGCCATAGGAAAAATACCCACTCAAAATACTGGTAAGTCAGTCATTCTCCTCTCACTGCATTTTTCATTTCAAACTAAAAATAACGTCCATGTATGAGGTTTCTACTACATTGAATACAATCGTTATGCACTTTTTCACACTTTGAGTACTCCCTATTTTTGTCTGTGCCAACAGAAAAATGGGGGAAGGAAAAAGCATATAAAGAAATACAAACAAAAAGAAAACAAGCCTTTGCAGAGGTAGGAAACCATGCCAAGAAAAGTTGCTTATTTAAAGCATTATAGAATATCTCATTTTAGAAAGAGCAAAGTGTCACACAGGTAGGCTTTTTCTGCAGAAAATAGTTTGAGAAAGGTGTTTTTGGTCTTTTCGTATAAGTGTGCATGTATGTATGTTTATATATGTGTGTGTGTGTGTGTGTGTGTGTGTACATACAAACATAACTGCTGCTTTTGCTATTGAAAAATTCAATTGCTAAGATCAACTCCTTTGTAGTCTTCTCAGCTTCCATTTTTTTTAAACTGTAAGTCAAAATGCAAAATAAGTTGTTAGAACTCTTTTGGGTAAATAAAGAAAAGCAGGATGAGCCATGAGCAAGAACCATAAAGTATCCCCAGAGACCAAAGCAGCTCTGCTTGCATTCATATATTCACTGTAAACTCTCAGTACACTCTTTAATACAGAAACTGAAAAATAAGAGATGGGGTGGTGGGGAAAGAAGTCACTTCCTTCGTGCACATATTGCAAATGTACTATTTGGCACAACTCTTTAATTGCTGTTCAAACTCAGAACAGCATAGCACCTTTGCTGCTGCGGTGCTGGAATTTCTTTGGATGCTTTGGCTAACTCTTACGTTTTAATGAGCGCTCAAACATTCCTTCCAGCCCTTCATTCACAAAGGACAAATTCCAAATTATCAGTCTAGGAGCACATAGCTGGGATTTTTCAAAGAACATTTTTCTAGGTTATCCAAAGTCCCTTGGTCTGGGTCATCACAACTTAATTGTTAGTCTGTCTAAAAAAGCAACTCCAAGCCAGCAAAAAATAAAATTTTGTATTACACTCTGATAGCTCTTGAAGTCTTAAAATCATATTCCAACCTCTTAGTTCAACACCTAAAATTTGAATTGCAAGTCCTAAAAATTAGGCAGGTAACTAACTGCATGATGATTCTGGTGGCATCAATGACACATGCTACTAGGCTAGTTTCCAAAAGTAAGGGCACAATGATCCCCATGTTTTTTTCCACCTTATGCTGCAAGGCATATCTAACCGTGCTAAAATTTGATTATGGGGTCAGCCCCAAAGATTCAGGAAGCCAGAGGTGTTTGAGCTCTCCCTCTAGACCAAGACACAAAACAGCAGTGCCTACAGATACTAAGTACACCAGCTGGTATTTGAGTAAAAGTAGCCTTAACTGTTGCCCGAGACTTTGGTGCTTAAGGTAGTTCCAAGGGCCAAAATGAGCAATTTGAATGTGGTTCTGATGGAGAGCAGTATCTTAACACCTCTAGCTAAAAGTAATTAAAAAACTGAGTTAGAAAAAAAAAAACTGTTCAGCAGAAGTTGTTCAGTTTGGAAAACAAACTGAAAGTGTATTTTGCAAAATTATAAACGGTGATTCTGGCTTCTTTTGGCTTTCTCTTCCCTAACAGTTTCAGAGCTTTGTTATAAAACCTTATGTAGAGCTACATTTCAGAACAGAAACAGAGTTATAGATAAACATTTACCTTTGTTTCCATCGTGGCGATCTTGATCTAGATCTCGTCATCTTTTGTCACGTGTTTTTATGAGTTTCTTGAAGCTGTAAAAACAATACAAATTACTAGTCCAATAAAAGAACTGCACTACAACTGGCAGTGCAGGCAGTTATTCTTAACGAGTGTAGCATTAGATGTTCCAGGTTTGAGGTGAGTAAGCTTTATTTTCAACTCTAATTCTCATGTTAAGGCAAGTACCTTTCTTTCCTAACTGCTGATCCGAGAACACAGTTTCTTTTTTTTAAAGAATTTACAGTATTCATTCATTGCTCACTTCTTTCTCTCCACATTTTATAAGGCTGTGTATTCGTGGGTTTTTTTTTTTTAAATGTTAAGAAGATCACAAAAAAATGCAACTGATTATGTTACAATTATTAGTACATACTAAACGCCACAAATGATAGAGGGAAGAGGTACCCAACATACAAATCAAATTTACAAAGTAAAAGGCTTTAGCATCCAGTTATTCACATATACTGCACTTAAATTTGTAATATACCTTGATGTTCTTAAATGGTTACAGACTTCCTGTAAGCTGTCACTCCTCCATAAAGTGTTAACTTTTCTAACATCACTTTTTTGGTTGAACGAAATGTGTACAAGAGATCTCATCTCTATACTTCACTTGCTAATAACCTACTACCTGTACATGCATTTAACCGGACAATAGAGGCAATATCACAAAAAGCACTGCTTACTTTTATACTATCACCTAAAAACAACAATTTGAGCCATGGGAAATGAACATTAGATTACATTAACAAATTCAGGGTGATTGCGAAAAGGTCTGAAAACAACAAAACATAATTATGGTACTATAAAAGCCCAGGTTATGGACAATTCCTGAAGCCTTTAAGTAGTTTTGGACATGCCTTCTCACAAAAGTTATAGAAGAGCCAGATAAAAGGTTAACGGAGTCTACTCTTCTTGCCCTTCTTTGCCAGACATTACACGCTTGGAAAAAACGATGGAAGGATCTACAAACCCACAAGTAATGTAAAGACAAATAGGAAAGGAAAATTGTGAAATTGCCAGGTAGCAGGCTTTGAAATTGGGATTTGGATTACATACATCACCTACAGCTCCTAATTACCACAAGATGCTGTAAGGGCCAGAAATATCAATAGGTGCAAAAACAGATCCACCAACAGCTCTGAAATTAGCAACCAACCAATCACTGGAAACTGGAAGAATACATATGGGTCAACGTCACTCTATACGCGCTCTGGTATTTCCTATAAGAGTCTGCTCATAGACATTCTTGGAGACAAAAAGTTAGCCTAAACTGGCCAACTATGGCTTTCCTGACACTTCTACTCACTCAAATCCTTTCTTTTGTAATTAAGTCTTTTACCTGACCAACTGAAGAGAGCGAGGAAAAAAAAAAAAAACAAAAAGCTTTCACATAAGCAAACCTGGAAAAGGAGATATGTGCCCACATGCCTGTTTTTTCCTCATCACATCAACCGGTCCAATAAAATACTACCTCTCCCTATCTACTTTATTTGCATTATTAGATTACAATTACAACAGCACCATCTTAAAAGAGAATATACAGCATACTTCTGATAGCTACCACCACGGATGGGCATTAGACAAACCAACCTACTATATTTTGGACAACTAATTTAATTCTGGAAATGCTCACTTCCTACTCGTTAAGCCAGACCATAATATAAACAGACAATTAGCTACAACACAGCAATAGCACAGGTCCAGAGAAAACCCTCTGAGTTTTTTTGTTTCTAAAAATCAAAAGACATCTCATTTACCATGAAAGTATTTGCTCTGTGACGAAACTGTCCATGTGGCAAGGAACAGAGGTTTAAAAAAATGCTGCCAAGGATAATGAAAGAGAAAATAGGAAATACTCCAAAGATGTACAGTATCTCTTCTTTGAACTTTCAAATATGAAGTTAAGCCTTACTTAGATCCTAAAGGTACATATCCAAGAACAAGGTAGCATGAATTTACTTAGGCCCTTTTTGTATGCTCTAAGATTGCACTAGCAAATGTTAAATGTTACGCTCCAACACCAGTATTCATAATAAGCATTTTTCAAATAGTAAGGCTAAGGCCTAAGCAATTTTGCATTTCTCACCAATAAAAAACACCTTACCAAGTGAGACAGTAAGTATGTTGAAAATATGAACAGCCACCCCCTGGCTCTGGCTAACACAAAAAAAATTTCTTGTAAACTTTAACAACACTTTCTATGCTATTCAAACTTCTGCTTTCTGCCTTCCCTTTGGTTCTGAACTTTAGCCTTCATTTTAAAATGAAGGCTAAACACTTAAAAGACAAAGTACCATTAAACTCCACCCAAACCATCTTACAGAGCTTGATACAATGCCAGGAGATCATATCACAGACCAATCAAGCTAGAAATTGAATATACAGAGCTAAAGTGTTTTTTTTTATCCACATCAGCTAAACAATCATACTAAAAGCATGACAAACATTGTGACAGCATGTCCTAGGTCTCGCCTTAGGATAAACAGGATTACTTTAATTCCAAAAAAGACACTCGTTTTTGTTTAGCAGAAAGAAACTGTTCATTCATTTTTATGTGCCTCCTTGAAAAGTTACTCAGAAGTAACGTGATTCCCTCACAGCGAGATTCAAAGGTGAAAAACATACGAAGGCAGTAAAAGCTCAACCCCAGTCAAAACTCCCAGCTAACACTATAATAAACTAATCCATGTAGAATTTGAAAGTGCACTGCTAAGTCCAAGTTCGAATCAACGCACCTCAATCAGTAAGACGGTTCCAAGTCCAAAGAAAGCTTTCTGTGGGATGGTTCTAGGTAGCAAGAACCTGTCTATAGTAAAATTATTTGAATCAAGTGGAGGCCCTACAGTTCCTGAGTCGGCCATCCAGGTGCTTCAAGGCCAGTTCATTTTGAACCAGGGACACCAGGACCTGCTATACTCTGGATTGTGCATTTCACCACGCCTTCCTTCTCTATTTTACAGGATGCTATCCCTATGAGAACGTGAAGAACTATTTTTAACTAGGAGGTAATATTACTCAGATCGTCGTGCTGCTTGTTTTTTGTTATGTTACAACAATAAGTGACTTATTACAGAGGAGTTATCCGTAACAGTGCTCAGACAGTTTTTAAACATTAATGAGGAAAACCACCTTTTATTTTGTTTTCCTTGACTTTTGGAATTTAAAGCAAACAACTTCAGCCTCAGAAACGCCTTAAGCCTGTTGCCAGCTTTCCTTAGAGTCTGTCTTTAAGAAATCAGTGCTTTGACAAGTACAAAATTCTTGTACCATTTATTAAGAACCTGAAAGAGGCAGCTCAAAAGAAGTAACTCGAAAACGACCAGAAATGTTTTGGGTGTGTCAGCCAGAATATACATTCTTTCAGAAAGGCCATCAATATGACAACTTGTTCTACTGGACTAAACCATCTCCAGTCTCCAATCTTCTCCAGCAGGCAAGGTGAGAAATCACAAATTACTGCAGTCATCTAACTGCAGGGCACGGAACTGAAGCTCTTGCAACTGCAGACCCCCACAGATAGAAGAGATAGAACACCAGTGGAGTAAAAGGAGGAGTAAAAGAGTTAGCACTCTTCTGTGAATAGACCATAAAAGATGTCGACTGCTTTATATTCCTTTTGGGTGCAGACTCAGCTCCACTGGGTCAGCATTTACAATACAGATAACAGAAGAAATCCAACACTGGAAATGCAATACAGAGCAGGTTAACAGTAGCACTGTTGACCATCAAGGAGCTGCTCTTGAACTGCCTTTCCACCTGTGGCTAAGATAGACAATTTCTCACCTCTTTGTAAGGGACTGGCTGACTCCAATCGCAATTGGCTTCCAAACCTCTTACAGGCAGAAAGATTGAGCAAGTCTTTCATAGGTTGGGTCACACAGCAGACATGAAAAAAGACACTGACCCTTGGCTGCAAAAACTACCTAGCTCACTACCCTCTCACTCTGCCCTCCTTCTCCCCACCAAAAACGAGCAGCTGCAAATTTTTCATTTGACTGTCTCCTTCTGATCAACCAGAAACTGCAAGGGACATGCCAGATCACGTCCCTTGCTGCAGTGTCCATCCAGAAAGAGAAACCAAAAATCGAGAAGCTCAACACCAAGACAGTCAAATATCTGACAGAAACCCAATCAAATTAGAAGCTCAGCTGCAACCTAGGCTTTTCTATAAAAATGTAAAGACCTTAAAGTCTGAAGCACAGAAAGCCATTTATCCTATCCTTAAATGAAAATGTATAAAACTGGCAACTTTCCTAATAGAAAAGTTAGAGCAGCTGGCTCACAGCGGTTGCCACACATGGATTTTTTTTTCCCCCTCCTCACTGCTATTGTCTGGGCAGGACATCAGCATTGCATGCACTTTATCCCTGTTCACCTTCCAGGCATACCAGCTCTCTTGACATTTCCTCTCTGAAAGGAGTCTGAAACAGGGCAGTTTAACCACAAGACACAACAAACCCCTCCATGAGCACAGCTGTATCATATACAGCTGTATCATATACAACAGTGGCAGGTACCTATACTTCATTCAGAATCTTATCTCCAAAATGGCCAGCAGCATGAGCCTGGGCAAAAGTGTAAGAACAAACATCTCCCAACACCCAGCAAACAGAACAGAAAGTTTCTGAACTGCAACGGGAACCAGTAGGATTCAGCAGAGGCACAAGTTCTCTCTCTCAGAGATCCAACTTCACGCGTACTTTAACTCAGTGCTTCCCAAACTGGCTTGGGTATTATCATCACAAGCTGAGGCTCCCAGGGCTGCACTAGGCTATGCATATATCCGTATCTCCCTAATTTTTCTACTAATTGCCCTTGACCTCAAAAATCAATTCACACTTTCAGCCCACCACCGCCAGCTGCTTCTCCCAGGGCACAATTCACCCCCTACTGCCAGCCACTCCTCCCAGGGCACAAAGTAGGATGCTGTGAATTGTGTGGTGCAACCCTGTCTCACACTAGTGCCACTCTCCTTGCCTCAGATCTTCTCCAACACCTGGAATGAGAAGCATGGGCACACCTACATGTGCACATGCATGCGCACCTCCAGGAACAAGGAGAGCGCACCCCAGGAACAAGGAGAGCACAAGCGTGACTGACTCCCTGCAGGCAGGAGCCCAGAAGGCTGCCTGAACACTCCTGACTCTTGACACATTCTCCCTCGAGGTAGTATGCATATCACAGGTTAAAAACGATAAACTAGAACAGCTCAAGGACACACACTGGTGGAAGCAAAAGAAATCCAACCGAGGGATTTCTAAACCATTCCGTCTTTTAGACAGTTTGGAAATCCCTCGGTTGGATTTCTTTTAAACCATTCCGTCTTTTAGACAGTTTGGTAAATAACCAGACCTATGCAAAAGATCTTTATTCAGATTTTCCATCCTCAGTTTTCTTGCTACTCTGATATTCTATTAGTGCTCTTTATAATTATAAATTCCTTCTCCTGGCCTTCAGTCACTCTCAGACTCTCCTCCAGATCTCCAAGGTTATGGTTTGACACTCCAAAATATTTTGTAGCTGGTCTGGCTGCACCACCCCCAGGGCACTACAACCTCAGCTGCACTGGCAACACAGCCTGAATCCTCATCAGGAACATGATGGGGTTTTTCCTTTATTCACCAGGCTATGTTTATCAGAATTTCCTAACCTGGTCTGTAGCATCTGTAGCACAAACAACAGTGCCAAAACAATGGAGCAAATGGTGTACCATGACAGTGGGAGGCAATATTATATGCCAGTACTCTTGCCGAATACATCACACTGTTAAATCACAACCTGAGCATACTCTGACTCTCCAGCCAGTTCTCTTCAGTTTGCTTGTTAATCTGAAGACTTCTCCCAGTAGTACAAATAGGATTTTAATCTTCTAGAAGTTCAGTTGTTGCAGCTTTAAAGAAGGAATTTTTTGTCCTCCTTCTCCTGTTTTTCAGCTTTATCCTTTTGCTGTACACAAGCTGGAGAAAGTAGCTTTACACAGGTTGCAGCTCAATGCTAAGGAACATTAGCAGATGACTAAGCCTCATACTAGCGAGGTAACTGTCCCATACAGAGGCAGCATCACTTCCCTCTACTTGCCCTATATAAGATTCAAGAGCCCAGGAAGAGCCACCATAAGGGCATGTACAGAGTAGATGATAACACCCCAAAACATCTCAAACTGTCTCACTCACAGTAGAATGAAGATCTACCACAGAAAGTACAGGCCTAGCTGAAGTACAGACTATTTCTTCATGGACCATTAAACAAATTTTAAGGTATCCCTTGAAATAGATTAAGTGCAGGGGAATACTTTTTGTATATTTCAGCAAACGACAAAAATATCTAAGTTTAAAAGCAAGTAACTTAATATCATTAAAATTAATCCATTTAATGGCACTAATAAGCAGCCAATGCCTCACCTTCGTAGAACGCCTACAATGCTAATTTGAAAAGATTGAGTAGGCTAAGCCTATCACATAATATGTTACATAGTTCAGTCTCAAATTAATACACACTTTTACATAAAGAAAGCACAAGCTGTAGAGATACTGCCCAGCCATTTCTGTATTACATTGAATTAAAGGCCTTTAAAAACATAGTCTGACCTCTGATCTATTATAGCCAGATCATTACATTTAACAGCACCATCCCCAGCTGATTCCGCCTATCAGGTTCAAGAGAGGTGTCAGAAACGTGTTAAAAATTAATTCCTGTCATAGTTTGATATAAGCTTTAGAAACCACAACTTCCTGCCCACTGAATGCCATTCAACACATACAAACTGTAGTGGAGATCTTAAGTCACAAAACCAATGTCAGGGGCGGTGGGGAGGGACCCCCTCTTTACTCAGAGGACGTGTAGAATCAGCAATGCTGTGCATGAACGCTGTCAGCAAACTGAGCAGTTTTAGCTGTGTTCACCAACCATGCTACAGAAATCAACTACGCTGGAAGACTCCCAGTACATTTCCTCCCTTTCCCAGAGACAGTTAAAGCCCGCTTCCACCTGAGAGGAAGAAGGAACCTGTATTTAGCTGCATCACTTGCCAGCTGGCTTGCTATGATACCAAACCAACTTACATTACCTCTTGACAGGCAAACACCCACAAGGCAAACTGCACCAAAATCAAATCAACCTATCTCAGCACAAACAGAAGAAAAGTTGATTTGATTGCTCTTATAAAAGCAGTAGCAGAAATACCAGTTATTTTGCTAAAGGCAGATGTGGAGGAGTACAACATGCCATGGACACTTATTAAGAAAGACAGCTATTTATCAGGATAACTGGGCGTGCCTCTAAAGGAAGTTAATTATTTTCAGCTCACCTCGTCAACATCAGTTTTTTAGAGAAAAAGCAAACAGCAAACAAAAACCCTAGAAAATCGTAATAGCTTCCAATTAGTCCTTCAGAGTAAAAAGAAGAGAACAAGGGGAAAACTTAGTCATCCGTGTTCTCTACCCTTCCCTGCTCAAGCCTGTCTCTTACAGCTCGCCACATCACCACGTAACTTCCCTCACCAAAGATGCTTCCATGCCTCTTTGCATATTTCTCCCACTTCCTTTTTTACATCCTCTTCCAAGCTGTTCCTTGAGCCCTTCAAACCCAGCAGAACTCGCAAGACTCACTTCTCCTAGGCCCACACACACTCAAGGTGAGTCGGCAATTAAAGTCTCCCAGCAATTTGAGCCTTCTTTGTTTTAAACCCTTGTAATTCAGGAATCCAAACTATATTTTACAAGTGACTTGGGGCATTTAAGATCTGCAATAGAAGTTAGGTGTGCTCTTCTACCTGCAGTTGAGCCAGATGAGCAGAATATTATCATTGATTCCTCCTGTTCCCCCCCAAAAGCATTACTGCCCCTTTAGATGTGTATGAATAACTGCATGCAATCAATTAGACCAGCTAAAGAAAAGTATCATAAAACAGTATTGGTCAAACCGGTGCCAAGTTATCTAATTTCAGTCGTCTCAATCCTGAAAAATATATTAATCTAATCCAAAGAGACTCAAACTAAAGCAAGACTACTCTACAAAAACCTGCACTGCTTTAAATTATTCTAATCATACTCAGCAGCATAGAACTGTGACCAGAAATAATTTATTTGCAACAGGGACTGTTGGTATTTATGCCTTGCTCCCCTCAGAAGAGAACGCTGTCCTTACAATAATAACAAATAGCCAACTCAGTCCTGCCGTACGGCTCACAAGAGCAAGGAAGTAGCAAAATGGGTTTTCTGGAACCATCAAGACAGACACATGCCTTGGAGACAACCTCGTGGCATTTCTTGTCATTCCTGTCCCGCGCCTCTCCTTATGCTTTGTTTCTAGCCCCCTCAAATCTCACTGAACGCTGCATACATCGTATATAATATATCCATATACACACATATGTACTCTATATGTTTATATACACGTTCAAGAGGGTTACAGATGCCATTGCTACAGGCTGCCTAAGCATCAGCAGATTTAAGATTGGTTCAGCAAAATCCCCACTGACCTCCTGTCCCCTTCAAATCCACAGCAGGCCATGCCTCGGGTGTACACCTTCAGGGACAAACACGGCGGGTAGGGGGGGGG